GTTGTTCTTTGCGCAACGTAGGGTTGACCCTGGTCGCAACTGGACCCCCTCGAGAGGGGGGTCGCAAAAATCCCGAAAATGTTCGAACGTGACGGTTGACCCTGTTTGACATGCGTGAGAAGCTGGAATGTTCGAGTTTACATTAGCTCGCCGAGAAACTGCATCATGATGCCCCCCTAACTGGAATAGACCCGAAAAAACTAATCCGAAATGACACCTACGACTGGAATAAAAGCCGCACATAATGAACAGCTAGAGGAACATATAAAAAGAACCAATTCGAAATAAATCATTTGGCGCGGAAAAGCGACTGGAGCACATGTTGGCTATAGTCCACGGCCCCATGAGAAGACGAGGCATGGTGTGCGCACGAAGTGACTCTGTTCTCATTCAGTAAAACGGCACATGCTGCGACAATTAATATTACTTGAAGCAATACAATTCTTGCAGGGAAAAGAACCTCCAAGGTGGGGTAAGAGTGGCTGCGAAAATTGAAATTTTCGAAGGCGACAGCAACTGTCGCACCAAATCCCCCTTACTGCATGAGATCCGTGAATTAAATAAACCTGCTTTGCCCCCTTATAGCTGCAGTAATTTCCCTTTCTCTGCGCATGCTTTTCGCATTTCAGTAGCTGTCACATGGGGAAACACCTTAATGCGTATACTTATTAAGCACGCTAGAGTTTATCCCAATACTAATCCTACCTGGGTTTGTTGAGTGTTGGTTCTTCTTTCTAACTCTTCTTTACCCTCTACTGGATGTCACTGCAGCATCATGCGGATAACCGAGAAATTCATCAGTGGGTGTCTACGTAGAAGTTAACACTATCTGCCACCAGTATCAAATATCACTGTTTGCCACCAACATTGATGTGGTAACCTGCGAATTACCCAGTCGATTTACTCCATCAGCTGCCTTATCACTTATTTTGCAGACGGGCAATGAAAAAATACCAACATACATACAAACCTACACGCCTAAAGTGGATGTGACTCGACGATTGCGCAATCGCCATGATTTTGGCAATCATGAGTGGGGAGAGGCGCCTAATGGAAGCAATACGGAGCAGTGAAGACACCCCCACTTGAAGATTAGCCATTCGCCGAGTCTGACATACAGCTAAGCGATTTATGTAGTAGAGAAATCATCCGGCGCAATTACAATGCGGGCATTGAGGTGAATAACTCATACCGCTTACTGTAACGCAATTATTTCAGGAGAGGAAGCGTCATAGGTGATGAACCAAGACCTCAAAGAGGAATTATGTGAGTATAATTTTTTTTCAAAACGTTCATTTCAGATGGAAGTATTTGTTGTGAATGCGTTGGGCTCTCGCCGTAATGACCTCTCCACTTGCTCTGATAGGATGGTACGGTTGGGCTATGGTCCTATCCAGGCAGATGAAGAGGTAGGTCAGGGGTTCAATGCATCAAAAAGATTACTTTGAGGTAGTTGAAACTTTGCAACCATTCGTTAGCGACTAGTACGATCCACTGCCGGTTCGAGCTATAGTAACATCCGATGTCCCAAACGAGGAGGCGAGTGTCCCGAAGTAGTACCTCAGAGGATCCTGGGCCGTATGCTGAATGTTGGAGAGGGGATGGGGATGGGGAAAGGTTGGGGAGGTTCGTCGCACCCACTGGGCAACGGCCGCACCTTTGATTTTGTAGCTTTGTTTCCATTCTTTCATCGCTGTTTTTGGATGAAGAAAGGTATTGACGAGCGAATATACAATCAGGAACAGTAAAAGAATGGAAACAAAGCTGCAAAATCAAAGGTGCGACCGTTGCCCAGTGGGTCCTGCGACGAACCTCCCCAACATTTCCCCATCCCCGTCCCCTCCCCAACATTCAGCATACGGCCCCAGGTTTCGATGCTCGATAGAAAAGCCTGGTTGCACCTTATCGGCCCTTTCGGGAGATCCCACCCTAGCTGCCTCCTTCGCGATTCGCCCGATTGATAGCGAGTGGTCACAGTAAACACCTAGTACCTCCTTCTTTGAAGTTAAGACGAACGGTAAGAGATAAGCTGCTAAAACAGAGTAACTTGCAACTTCTTCTTGTTACAGCAACGAAGAATAGAAAAAAAAAAACCAATGGTAAAACTAACAAACAAGAAAATGAAGCGCTATAGGAGGATTTTGTGAAAAAAGTTTCTTGAGTAGAAAAGCCTAACCTGCATGAGTGAACGATGTCGGTACAAAGATGTCTTCCTCAGTGGCTCCCGTACAGTAAGTTGGCTTGTTGACTTCGAATGCCATTTATATTTGACCAGTGAAGACACATGTGCAGAGTCTGTCATCGGGACGTACCCACATGGAACGCATTCCGACTAGAACATCAACATGAATGAAATTACTATATGATCTGATGAAATCTTCAAAATACATCGAACGGGGAAGTCGAGAAACCATCAGAGATAAACTTTCATGAAAAAAAATCCGCGCCATTTTATGTACTACCTATTCGAACTCGATGAATAATTTGATAGGCTCTGGTAATAAGCGGATAAATGAGATCCTACTATTGAATAAGTATCGGTGAATTACTTCAAATATGAGATTGTTACAAAAATGGGACGGTTTTTTTCTTTCCTATAAGCCAGGGAGGGGAAATGCGATCCCGTACAATGAGGAATGTCCGGTATCTTCTGTGGTTTAAACGATTACGTTGAGCAAAGAGCAAATTAGTGAGCTCATAAACATCCTGGTATAGAAAGCGGATTCCTTGATGCACTGGAGCGACTGTTGCCGAGTTGAGGCACTTCTCCCTACGCAGATCACTGGAAAAAACGATCGATGAAATAGTTGCCAATCAATGACCTTGTAGCAGCCATCGTTCCAGAATTTTCGATAACCGTGATCCAGGAGGTACATTTCAGCGTAGTCGACCTTTGGGTAATTCAGTTCGTTACGCATCCGGTCGATACTGCGCAAAGCGAGGGCCCTGAAAATGCCGAGTTTCCATGGATGGAAGATAGATCGGTACCATTCAACTTGCAGAAGATAGAATATTCTTAGCGAAATAAAACTCACATTCCAGGACCACGCTTCTGACTGAATTCGCAATAGAATATCGGAATTCGCGAGCGAATCGGGTGATTTGGATCCTCAGGGAAAAACAAGCTTTCTAGTTCGTTTTGATCATGAAGATTGATCGCACACTTAACAAATGCCATAAAAACAGGTTTTATTATGATTTTCTTTCAGGAATGCTCACCTTGACATGCCCACCCTCATATTCATATGGGTATCTGCAATCAATGAGCAAGTAGCGACGTTCAAACTCTTCTGGCCCAAGTCGCCGGATCTCCGTAGCCAATGTCTCACCCGAGATGCTTCGAAATGCAAGCGATTCCCGCTGAGGATGCTCCACTCCAGGCAAAGAATATTCCTTGAAGGACAAAACAGTTGAATTTAAAAAATTTGGGCGATAAATGCGTGCTGCAACCGCTGCTTCAGCATCTTGACTGGACTTGAGTAAGCGGTTGGAAAACGCCCGTTTATGACAGCAAAGATCACTCACTACTGTTGGGCCGAATTTAGGTGACCCCTGCTGGGATTCTCCCCTCTCCAGTTGCCCAGTGCTTTGAGTCCTCGTGAAACTTCGTGACAAAGATCGCGAGGACGACGTAGAACGCTCGCTGGCATGTGACACATTTGGAGAGAAGTCGTCAGCCTCGAACACCTCATCTTGCGATAAGTTAATCTCACTCTGTAATTTCAATACAATACAACATCCTTCTACAGTAATCCAACGGAACGAACTTGGAACAGATCGGTCCGTATGGCGCAAGATCTCTTCCGCTGCACACCACTGTCAGATAGAGCACTGTCGGTGATTCGCTTTCTTATCTTTACCGTCCTTGTCGTCCGCTCTTCACTTGTTGAACGCGGTCCAGGTACACGAGCTTTTGCCGGAGTCCACACTATATCTGACTCAGCGTACTAGAAAAGATTCAAGTTGGTTTTCGGATGTTACTCAGGCAAGTGTCAAACTTTGCGATCAATCGCTAAGCCAGAGTCAGACTTTGCGAATCATGGATTCGCTAGCGATTGGGCGTTTTGCTAGCAATTGGAGAACGAGCGATGCGCTAGAGGTCCGAACGATGGACCAGCAAATTCAGTCGCATCGCTCGTAACTGCTCCGAAAAACCCAAACGCCTGCGAATCCATGAATTCGTAAAATAGACACCTCCCGAGTCGCGCGATTCGCCTGCAATTAGTCGCAAAGTCTGATACCTGCCTTAGAAGAGAGAGCTGCTGTAAGCAAAAAGATGAAGGGCTTTACCGAAAATGATGAAATTGACGTTGAAGACGAAGCGTGTATGCTTGCAAAATCAGTTTCTACCAAAATCTGGAATTGGATAGCATGTTCTCCTTCTCGTC